GAATTGAGAATATTTGAGAGAGTTTGAGAGGAATTGAGAGAAATTGAGAGAAATTGAGATATAATATCCCGGGGGCGACCCAAATTGAGAGAAATTGAGACAGAAGGTTCGCTTGGTGAGAAACTTTGAGACAAATTGAGACAACTAGTGCCGTCTGGTTCAGGACAATTGAGACCGCGTAGCCTGACTTGGCGAAGGCAGCTGAGCGTGTTCGATGGCAAACCGCATCGGAGATCCTCACGGGACCGCGGCGGCGCAGTGGCACCCGGACGCCATCTTCGCTTCTATTCCCTCCTCCTCTTCCTTCCTCCGCTGTCCACTCCTTCCTCCTCGCCCCCCATCCTTCCCCCCCCTCCCTCCTCCCCCCCGCTCCCCTCCTCCCCCCTCCTCCTCGCTCCTCCTGCCTCCCCCCGCCCCCTGGGCAACGACGACAGCAGTAAGAGGCGATGCGCTTTGAACGCGAGGTGCAGCGATGACCCTGGCCTGCCCAGGCAGGGGCTTTGGGGGGCAACGGGGCGGGGAGGGGCGTGCGATGGGGCCTCGGACAGGGGGCCAAAGTACTCTCGTGAAAGGGCCCGCTAGCACGCGCCCGTCCCGCACCAGTCGCGAACGCCAGAAACATGAAGATAGCGGGTCGGTGTCTAAGCGAGCAGCAGGGTCAAACCATGCGCCCCCGCGATGTGGTCTCATTACATCGTGTGCCATTCTAGCTACGAGGATTCAGACGCGGCCTTGCTCAGAGAACGCGTCGTCTAGAGTACGATGGGCCTTGACCTGGGATCAAGAAATCCGGGGCCCCGGCGCGACGTGGCCCCGCGCCCTCCAGTAGTGGCTGAAGAAGGTGGCACCCTTCAAGATTTAGGCGCGCTGCGCGACTCCTCGGAAATGAGCCATGCGATCCACTGCCAATTCTAAGGATCATTCGAGAGCGCGACCTTAATGGCGCATCACTTCGCGCGAGGACAAGGGCCATGCCAGACGACCGCTCCTGAACGCTAATGCGCGCGCGCCCCAAACCTGTTCGCTTCGCCCGAGCACGAAGCCGGCCGTCACGAAGCCCGCCCAATCACCAGACTGCAGCATGGGCACCGCGACGGTGAAAAACTCGCGCGCAATGGGCACCCTCCGAGGAAGATAAAGATCATCTCGCGCCGGACGGCGCGCTCAACTTTCGCCCCCCCCGTCGACGCCACCCCCATGTGGATCTGCATGAGCTATCGCCTCGACGCCGGCGACATGTTCTCTGAAAACGAGGCTCCCGCTCGAGCGTTGGAATGGCCTTAAAAGTGCGCCCTAGGAGGCCCAGCTACGACAACAACGGCTTCCGCTCGATCTTTCCTCACACTTTACTTCGAGACACCCTGGCCAGAGAGGCCTCCGACTCAGGAACGGCGCTCTCGCTCGAGACCTCCTCGCAATTCAATCAAGTTGGCGGGGGCCCAGCCACGACGACAAAGGCTCCTGCTCGATATTTCTCACGATTTACTCCGAGAGCCCCTGGCCAGGAAGGCCCCCGAACTCAGGAACGACGCTCTCGCTCGAGACTTCTTCATGATTCAGTTAAATTGGTGGAGGCCCACATGCGACGACAAGGGCTCCCGTTCGATACTTCCTCAAGATGTATTCGCAAAGGCCCTTGCCCACCCAGGTCCTGGCGCGCTGCCCACTGAAGGCCCCCCACACACAACCCACTGAGGCCCTGAGTAAGCCAACAGGGACCGTAGCATGCTGCCCGCAGGCCCTCCGGCACAGCCCACATAGGCGCCAAGCGCGCCCACAGAGGCCCCCCCGCGCTGCCCACAGAGGCCCCAAGCGCGCCCACAGAGGGCCCAGCGCGCTGCCAACTGAGGCCCCCGACGCAGCCCACAGAGGCTCCAGCCTACAGAGGCCCCAATTGCGCCCACAGAGGCCCCAACGCGCTGTCCAATGAGGCCCTCCGGCACAGCTCACAGAGGCCCAAACCCCCGCCCCAAGCGTGCCCACGGAGGCCCCAATGCGCTGCCCACGGAGGCCCCCTGTTCCACAGAGGCCCCGAGCGCGCCCACAGAGGCCCCAGCCCACAGAGGCCCCCAGCACGCCCACAGAGGCCCCCGCGCGCTGCCCACTGAGGCCCTCCAGCGCAGCCCACATAGGCGCCAAGCGCGCCCGCGCAGACCCCAGCCCACAGAGGCCCCGAGCGCGCCCACAGAGGCTCCCGCGCGCTGCCCACTGAGGCCCCCGACACAGCCCACAGAGGCCCCAAACGTGCCCACGGAGGCCCCAGCGCGCTGCCTAATGAGGCCCGGACTTCCTACAGAGGCCCCACACGCGCACGCAGAGGCTGCCTACAGAGGCGCCAAGCGCACCGAGGCTCACGCACGCTGCCCACTGAAGCCCTCCGGCACAGCCCCAGCGCGCCCACAAAGGCCGCAGCCCACAGAGGCCCAAACGCGCCCACAGAGGCCCCAAGCGCGCCCACAGAGCCCACAGCGCGCTGCCCACTTAGGCCCCGGCCCACAGGCCCTAAGCACGCCCGCGGAATCTCCAGCGCGCTGCCGACTGAGGCCCCCCGACACCGCCCACAGAGGCCCCAAGAGCGCCCACAGAGGCCCCAGCCCATAGAGGCCCCGAGCGCGCCCACAGAGGCCCCCGCGCGCTGCCCACCGAGGCTTCCGAAACAGCCTACAGAGGCCCCCGACGCAGCCCACAGAGCCCTTAGCCCGCAGATGCCCAAATCGCGCCCACAGAGGCCCCAGCGCGCTGCCCACTGAGGCTCCAGACGCAGCCCTCAGAGGCCCCAGCCCACAGAGGCCCCAAGCGCGCCCACAGAGGTCCCAGCGCGCTGCCCACTGAGACCCTCCAGCACAGCCCACAGAGGCCCCAAGCGCGCCCGCACAGATCCCAGCCCGCAGAGGCCCCGAGCGCGCCCACAGAGGCTCCCGCACGCTGCTCACTGAGGCCCCGGACGCAGCCCACAGAGGCCCCAAACGCGCCCACAGAGGCCTTGGCCCGCAGAGGCCCCAAGCGTGCCCACAGAGGCTCCCCCGCGCTGCCCACTGAGGCCCCCGACGCAGCCCGCAGAGGCCCCAACCCACAGAGGCCCCAAGCGCGCCCACAGAGGCCCCAGCGCGCTGCCCACTGAGGCCCCCGCCCCAGCCTACAGAGGCCCCAGTTGCGCCCACAGAGGCCCCAGCCCGTAGAGGCCCCGAGCGCGCCCACTGAGGCCCCCGCGCGCTGCCCACCGAGGACCCCGACGCAGCTCACAGAGGCCCCAACGCGCTGCCCACAGAGGCCCCAGCCCGGAGAGGCCCAAAGCGCGCCCACAGAGGCCAGGGCGCGCTGCCCACTGAGGCCCCCGACACAGCCTACAGAGGCTCCAGCCCAGAGAGGCCCCACGCGCGCCCGCAGAGACCCCAGCGCGCTGCCCACTGAAGCCCCCGTCACAGCCAACAGAGGCCCCACGGGCGCCCACATGCACCTTGGGCGATGCTTAAGAAAACTTAAGTTTTCGGCCAGAGTCTTGATTATTCTTAACGTTTCAATGTAAATCTTAAGATTTTAATAGGACTGTTGGGTTTGTATTCAAGTTCTGAGACTATGAATTTCTTAACCCATGATTTCTTAAGCATTTCGCAGGGTGTAGGCCCCAGCCCGCAGAGGCCCCAAGCGCGCCCGCAGAGGCCCTAGCGCTCTGCTCACTGAGGCTCCCCAGCGCAGCCCACAGAGGCCCCAAGCGCGCCCGCAGAGGGCCCAGCCCGCAGAGGTCTCAGGAACGGCGCTCTCGCATTAGACTTCTTCGCAATTCAATTCAGTTCGCGGATGCCCAGCCGCGATGACATGGCTCCAGCTCGATATTTCCTCGCGATCTGGGAGGTCCTGGCCAGAGAGATTCCCGAATTCAGGAACAGCGCTCTCGCTGTGGACAACTCAGTCCAATTAGTGGGGACGCAGCCGCGATGACAAGGGCTCCCGCTCGATGCTTCCTCGCGATTTGCTCCGAGAGGCCCTCTCGCGTGGTCCATCCTTCTTTTCCCCCAACCGTCTTCCCTTCCCCTGTTTTAGGGGTTGCGCTAAATGTGCGCGACAGGTAAGGAAGATATACCCCGGAGGGGGTACAGTCGAAGACAAAGAGGGAGGGTATCGAGGGTTTGGGATATACGTGTTGCGTGACACGAGATCAAATAAACAACAAACTGTCTTAAAATTGTTGTTCTTGTTGGTGTTGTTGATGTCGGTGTTGTTGTTGGTGGTGTTGTTGTGCTTGTTGTTGTTGTTGCTGGTGGTGTTGGTGTTGGTGTTGTTGTTGGTGTTGTTGTTGTTGCTGTTGCTGTTGCTGTTGTTGCTATTGCTGTTGCTGTTGCTGTTGCTGTTGCCGTTGATGTTGTTGTTGTTGTTATTGTTGTTGTTGGTGTTGGTGTTGGTGTTGTTGTTGTTGGTGTTGGTGTTGTTGTTGTTGTTGGTGTTGTTGTTGTTATTGTTGTTGTTGTTGTTGTTGTTGTTGTTGTTGTTGTTGTTGTTGGTGTTGTTGTTGTTGTTGTTGTTGGTGATGTGTTCTTCTTCTTCTTCTTCTTCTTATTTTTCTTCTTCTTCTTCTTTGCTGTCGTCGTCCCACCCGCGACCCACCCCGCGACCCACCCCGCGACCCACCCCGCGACTCACCTTGCGACCCACCCCGCGACCCACCCGCGACGCAACCCGCGACCCACCCCGCAACCCACCTTAAGGGGAGGAAAAACCACCCGGACCCGACAATTGACTGTTACTAAAACGGCTCTGGGCGTTGATTAAACAGCCTTGCCCTGTTCGATTCATTCCTTGTGTGCGTTTACTAAACGGCTTCGCTTGTCGGGCTGACTCTTGTGGAGTGGATTTGCTTGCCCTCCACACCCGCGACCCGCCCGCGACCCAACAGCGACCCACCCGCGACCCACCCGCGACGCACCCGCGACCCACCCCGCCACCCACCCGCGACCCACCCCGAGACCGACCCACCTCAGAACCGCTCCTCAGCCGCGACCGAGGTGCACAGCCCTCACGTCGGCGAGCGCGTGTGGATCGAGGACGCGACCTTCCTCGTGATGATCGTGCACCGCTGCACGCCTCACGGGCCTGGAGGCCTGAGCACAGCTGCCTTGGTGCGATGACCTTGAGACCCGAGCGTGGGGTTGAGGAGGAGGAGGAGGAGGAGGAGGAGGAGGAGGAGGAGGAGGAGGAGGAGGAGGAGGACAGGGAGGGATGCGAGGAAAATCTGCGTTTGGCTGCGTGGGCGGGCGAGAGGAGTGACCCCGCTGTGGCTATGATGAGTCCGAGCCGGTGACCCTTCCTTCCCCCCCCCCTCCGGTGGTCCGGCGGTGGCCTGGGTGTCCCGTCGTGTCCGGTGTCCCGTCGCTGCCCCGTCGCTGTCCCGTCGCGGTGGGCGGGCTGTGACTGGGTTGTCCCGCCGTGGTGTTCCATCGGTGTCCCGTCGCGGTGGGCGGGTTGGTGGCCGTGTCTTTGCCGGGCTGCTCTTGGCGGCCTTCAGTTGGCCCCGAGGCGCTCGCGGCGATAACAAGTCGAAGGAAAAGGGGGGAGGTCGACCGAGTGGGGGCGAAACGATTGGTAGTGGGATCGATAGGGCGATCGGGCGAGTTGGGTCGATCGAGTGGGATCCATTGTGAGGTCGATAGCGTCATCGGTAGAGTGAGATCGTTAGAGTGGGGTCGGTAGTTGGAGCGACAGAGTGATTTCGATAGAGTGAGATCGATAGTCAGATCGGTAGTGAGAGCGATAGTGAGATTGGTAGTGATATCTCTGGTGAGATCAGCATCGTCACCACGCGTCGTTGCCAACTCGAGGGCGCGTCACCAGCATCGCCATCATCACAGCCATCGCAGTTGTCCTCAGTTGGTTCTTCTCTCCCCCCCACCGCCAGCCTCCCTATCACCCGAAGGGCGGACGTATAGGTACTGGGAATTCTGAGACTTGTGCCCATCTCTTTGTGTGTCCTTGGGCCACTTCATCCTGATCCCCCCCTTTCCGTCCGCCCCGAGCCCTGCAGGGGCCCCAGGGGCTCTCGGCTCTCCTTTCCCCGGAGTCGGCTCTCCTCATCCTCTGCCGACGGCCTCGTGGCCATGAGCGAGCCTCCGGCGGATCGATGCACCGACGGGCTGGCGCCATGCCACTGTCGCCCGATGCTCCCGTGAGATACTGTCGGGGCGCTGAAGGAGGAACCCTTTTCGTTGGGGAGGGGCTCCGTGTTCCTTGATTGTGTTGCAGCTTGCCTTAGGTTGTCCTTAGGTTTTCGATGGGAAATCGAAGTTTTACTGATGGGAAAACAGGGGCCTCGTGCCTTATTTAGAGCTCCTTAGGTCAACGCCCCGACGGTACGCCAGGAGATCCGGCCCGTTTTTTTTTTTTTTCCTGGGCGAAACGCAAAACAAAAGGGTTTTCGATGGCGCCGGCCTTCGCGCGCAAGGTGCCCGCGCAGGGTCGCACGTAAGCGCCTTCCGTCGCCCATGTGGCGTGCCGCGCGGGCGGCCTGCGCGCGCCACCGCGCACGTAAGGTCGCCGCGTCCGCTCGCGTGAGGCCCGCTTCTTCTCGTCGCGCGCAGGGCGCTGCAAGAGTCGGGGGTGGACAGACCTCCTACCCTGACACGTCGATTCAGGAATTGGCCTTCTTCGGTTCGCGAGATGGCGTCGCGGCCGTCATTTTTGCGGGTCCATGTCCGTGGGTTTCGGTCCCAGGCCGTTTTCACTAAGGGGAGGTTTACTAAAGGGAGGTTTGTCTTCCGCCGAAAGAGTCAGTATCTTTTAATCGAGCCTCATCCCCATCCCCAGCCCGATCCAAACCACCATCATCTCAACGCCCCAGCTGGGTATAGACCCTTCGAAACCCCAGGGAAACAGCCTATTTCCCATCAAGGGGGGAGAATCGGCCAGTGGGGCTCAGGCCACGCCCAAGTGGAATTGGGGTCGGGTCAACGATGCTCAAAGTGATTTGGGGGAACAGACAATGGCATAAACAAGCAAACTCTGAGGTCCGCGCGGGGCGCGCCAGGGGCGGCCAGGGGTCCCCAGCGCCGATCCGAGGAATCCGTGCGGGCCTGAGAGTTTTCATGTTTATGTCGTCGTTTTCGTATTTATTGTTTTGCCGATCGGCGCGGGCCCTCGCACCCTCCCCCTCCCCCCCCCATGGAGCAGATCGTGGCTGTTTGGGGCGCCTGCTTTGAGCAGGTGGAGTCTCCCCCACAAGACGCGCTGCTGCAAACAGTCGCATTGAAAGCAGAGGTCCCGGAGCCAGACCCCCCCCCTTCTTCCCCGCCCCTCCCGCCCGATGTCGAAGCGCCGAATACAAAGCGTTCACTCTGTCCTCGTTTGGCCCCCTGCAGAGAGCGGCGGACGGAACTGGGCGCCTGGAGTTGAGTCGGGCCTGGCCCCCTACAGGCCTATGTTCGACGAAAAATCAAGCATAGTATATATATATATATATACACATATATGTGTATGTATATATATATATACAGATATATGTATAAAGTCCAAGAGGGTCAAACATAGTAAAGACAAAACATAGTCCCCAGACATTTTTTCCACTCTTTGGAATATTCCTCCCGCAGAGGGACAGGCCCGACTCAAAAGCCTGGAGCCTCGGCTCCGGCCCTCAGCCGCCCCGCGGCCGCCGCGCCGGGGGCTCCGGCCGGAGAGGCGCCGCCGCGAGCGCCTCTGCCAGCTTCTTCGAGGCCAAGTACGCCTGCCCCGCAGCCAAGGACGCCCGCGCCCGGCCACGCGCAGAAAGTCGGGGGCGGCAAAGGGGTGGGAGTTCGTCGAGCTCTGAGGCGTTGGGAGGGCGGTGGAGTTCAGGGCAGAGAAGGGGTCCTGGGGCAGCGGGCCGGGCTAGTTGAAGTCGGGCATGTCCCTCTACAGGAGGAATATTCAAAAATAGTAAGAAATAGCATGGGGACGATTACTCTTCTGGGGGAATTTATTGCGAAGGCCTCACGGCCGGTGCCGCCGACCCTGAAGATGAGGACGCTGACCACGACGAGGTAGAAGGAGGAGAAGTAGGACGAGCAGGGGGAGGAGCCGCATGAGGAGGAGGAGGGTGAGGAGGATGGGGAGGAGGAGGTGGAGGCAGAGGTTCAGGGGAGTGGGGGGGGTGAATGGAGGCGGGCTTGTTGTGAGGGGCGGGAGGAGACTCGGGGGTGGTAGTGGTGCCCGCAGATGTTGACGGAGAAAGGACGTGGGCTCGTGAGGGTCTCTCGGGACACTCGTGATGACTAGGGGGGGGGGATATCATGGCGTGGGCCATGATGATTGCCCCAGGTTTCAGGAACTGCGGTCTAGCCCGAGACTTCTTCGCAATTCAGTCAAGTTGGTGGAGGCCCAGCCACGACGACAAGGGCTCCTGCTCGATATGTCCTCACGATTTACTCCGAGAGCCCCTGGCCAGGAAGGCCCCCGAACTCAGAAACGGTACTCTCGTCGGAGACTTTCTCGCAATTGAGGCAAATTGGTGGAGGACCAACTACGACGACAAGGGCTCTCGTCCGATACTTCCTCAAGATGTATTCGCAAAGGCCCTTGCCAGAGAGGCCCCCGACCCCAAGAGTGGCGCTCTCGCTCGAGAATTTCTCGTAATCCAGGCAAGTTGGTGGAGGCCCAGACACGGCGACAAGGGTTTCCGTTTGATATTTCTCTATATGCATTCCGGGAGCTTTTGGCCAGAGAGGCTCCCGAACTCAGGAACGGCGCTCTCGCTCAAAAGTTCCTTGCTCTTCAGTCAGTGACCGACAAGGGAATTATTCCCCCCGGAAAACGGGGGGTGCATTTGAAGACGAAGTGGGGCGGGTATCGAGGGTTGGGGCATACAGAGTGCAAGACACGCGTGCCAGTACAAGCACACAGTCTTGAACTGATTTATGTTGTCGTAGTCGTAGTCGTAGTCGTAGTAGTAGTAGTAGTAGTAGTAGTAGTAGTAGTAGTAGTAGTAGTAGTAGTAGTAGTAGTAGTAGTAGTAGTAGTAGTAGTAGTAGTAGTAGTAGTAGTATTAGTAGTAGTAGTAGTAGTAGTAGTAGTAGTAGTAGTAGTAGTAGTAGTAGTAGTAGTAGTAGTAGTAGTAGTAGTACGTAGTAGTAGTAGTAGTAGTAGTAGTAGTAGAAAAAGTAGTAGTAGTAGTAGTAGTAGTATAGTAGTAGTAGTAGTAGTAGTAGTAGTAGTAGTAGTAGTAGTAGTTGTCGTAGTCGTCGTCGTCGTCAGCGTAGTAGTCGTAGTAGTCGTAGTAGTCGTAGAAGAAGAACCAGCAACAGCAGCAGCCGCAGCAGCAGCAGCTGCACATGTGGTAGCATTACTAGGCTGCCGCGCTTGCTTGACACTCAGGCTGAACGCACGTAGCCCCACAGGTGTTACCGTGCTGGATGACTGGCAGGAGGGACTGGTTGCAAGCACGTGCGCAGCAGCAGTGGTGGTGCTCTGGAGAAGGAGGTGGTGGGCATGGCAAGGGGGGAAAGCGCAAGGAGAGGATGAGGAAGAAGAGGATGAGAGGCGAGAAGCAGGAGCAGGCGAGTGAGCAGGATGAGGAGGAGGGATGCGGCGCTGGCTGTCGCCCGCGCCCCCCCGCAGGGCGCTCTCGTCGCCCCGGCTGGCGAGCCGCTCACACTGGACACCAGCGGCGTGGCAGAGCCGCCTCGGCAGCTGAGCTGCGCCCTGCTGCAGGTGCCGGAGCCAGCGGCCAAGGCCTCCCGCCGTTTGCCATCCACACGAGTTGTGCAGAATGCGCCCGTCGACTAGGCGTAAGAGTGACCTTTCGCCGGAGTGACCTTTGGTGCGGGCACGGATGGGCCCCCAGATGGCTGAAAGAGAAGCGGTAGCAGCGGCCTGCGCGCTTGCTTTTTGGCCCCCCCGCGGTCCCAAGAAGCCGCGCACCAAAGGTCACTCTTGCCAAGGGTCACTCTTGCATGTAGCCGAACCAGTGCCTCGAGACTTCGGCGCTGCATTTTTTTTCACACCTGGCGTCGTCGCCCTACGTTTCGGGGCCCCAGGGCCATCGCAGATCGATCCGGCGAGAAGAGTGCCGCAGGAAGACGGGGTCTAGGGCTCCTCCTGGCCGTGGTGGTCTGAAACGTCGCATGTTTTTCGCGACGTCGAATCTCAAGGTGCCCAACTTCGACGAAGCGCCTTGGTTTGCTCATCGTCCCGCCCAGCAGAATGTGCTGGGCACAATCGTCCCGCCCAGCACAAGCCCAAAACAGGTAACATGTGACATGTTACCTGTTTTGGGCTTGTGCACATGTTCCTATGACTCGCCTGGCTGAGACAGGCAGGCTGGATGTCACACATCGACCTCGCTATCTTACGAAGATGCAGTTTTGGCTGTCGGACCGTGCCTTCGTTCTAAGAAGATTCCGTGATAGGCCTACAGAAGTGCCAGGACGGTCAGCCCTTGCTCGACTCGGCGGCGGGCCCAGGGGGGAAGCGAGAGGGGGCGGGCCTTCTCGGAGGGCTCGGAAGTCCCCCGGCCTTCCGATGAGTTCACTGAGCATTTTCCACAAACGCAGAACCTTTTTTTCTCGGAAGGCCAGGGGGGCTTCTGAGAAGCCCCGCCGTCCTCCGAGGATGCCTCTTCCCTTCCCAAGAAGACGCAGAAGACTTGTCAGAAGGCCGCAGGGCTTCTGAGAAGCCTTGCCGTCTTCTGAGAAGGCCTCGTCCTCCTCGCGGGCCGCCGATCAGCATGCGCCACGACCGTGCCCAGCCAGGGCCGTCCAGGGTCCTCTCGTCGTGCACGCGCCCGCCCTGGCCGAGGCCAGGGAGGCCCGTGCACAAGCGTGAGTGAGACCCAGAAGTGGCCCTGGCTTGGTATGGCGGAGGTGTGCAGGGGCCTCCTGCGGATGATTGGCCTCAGAGGAGGAAAGGGCGCCCATACAGCTACCCTTCTCTCGGCTCTCCCTTTGTGGACCTCTCCGGAGGCCCTTGTCGCCACCGCTGGATTCGCTTGGAGATTCTGGTCAGAGCGCGCCCCGGGAGAAAGCCGGGGAGTAGCGGTATCGGTAGATTTTGGTTTCCTCATAGTTGATGTATTTGAATGCAGCGTAGTCCCGTGCTGGGCGTGTCCGTGGTGCGAGTAGTTTTGTGCCCACTGGAGATAATTTTCATCACCTAGCGATAACGGGCTTGACCGGGGGGCGGGGGGGAGGGCGGGAGGGGCCCGGTAACGTGACGATTCGCGCCGGCGCCGCTTGGGAACGGTTAAGGATGATCTATTCCCAGACGGGGCCAGCGCGAAACGTGGCGTCACCAGGGAGAGGACAGGAGAGCGGGGCCGGTAACGGAGCTATCGCGAGTAATGAAGAAATGGGCTAGTGTTCACGTGTGTCGCGCGGCCCGCTGCAAGCCAGCTGCTGAAACAGTTGTGGAGGATTGGTCGCGACCAACCTGCTCAAGTGAAGAACGATGCGCAGCACATCCAAGACTACGTATTCTACAACCTCTACACTTTGCTTTTGTGTCTGTGTGTGTCGGGAGCACGTCTAACAGTGACAGTGCCGCAAACGTAGCTCGTGGCTTACGTGGTACCATATGGCGATGTGTCGAACCCATTGCTCGTGCGGTTTCGCGGGAAGCCGCGCGGCGCTCTTTGGCCAGTTTCGCATCTAGTGGCCACTTGGTGTTGAGTCTATGTTCGCAGCCGGTATAGAGTAGTTATTGAGGTCATCGACGCTCCCCCCTTTCAATCGGCGCACCTGCTGGTCAGACCCAAACTCCTCCAAAGGGTGTGGGTGGTGGTGTGCAGCAGTGAGTAGCATCCGAAGCAGTCGACATGTATGGCGCTCATTGCTTGTGTCTTGTAGTCCGTGCCCCGAGGCTCGCGATCTGAGCCGGGCGTGCTCGAAGACCGCAAACTCCCTGGAAGGGTCGGGCGTCCGGCTCGGAACCTTCTTGGAGCTCGCTCCCCGAAGCTCTCGTGTTGGGCCTGGCACCTTGTGGAGGAGGATCGAATATGGAGAGGAAGCATGTTGCCAAATAAGCTCCAGGTGTCTAAAACATGTGTTAAACATTCTAACATCCCTTCAACATGTACACACAGGCTTGGAACATTCTAACACATGTTGAACACGTCTTCAACTCGATGACAGGACTGTCGGGGTGCCCATTGTCGTGGCATCCACAACGGGAACCCAGGGGCGTCGGGGTGCCCATTGTCGTGGCATCCACAACCGGAACCCAGGGGCATGCCGGATCGGCCCGTGCGGCGACCGAGGCTCGGGTATAGCCAGGACCCCGGTTGAGGGGAGCCGGTTAGTGATTGGGCCCCGGAGCGCAACATATGGATTGGAATCACTAAACCAGGTCCGCCGCTATAGCTGATTTTTTTTCGGGCGACGGCAGTTCCAGTTAGTGGGATGGGGCGGGGGGGGGGGGGGGGCGTTCCCGAGTACTCGGGGGCGGAAAAGAGGGGGGTGATGACTAGGGGGGGTGGATATCATGGCGGGGGCCATGATATTTCCCCAGATTTCATGGCGCCTCTTCTTATTCCATTACGTCTCTGGCCCCCCCGCTGGGCCGCGCACATGCCGCCGGTGATGATTTGCGCCCCCCCCTCTTGTACACCCCCGGGGGCCCTCTTGGCCGCTCCCGAAGTACACATCACGAAACCAGGTCCCACTAACCCCAGTCCTGCCAACGCCCGAGAGGCACACGGGCGGCCCCCCCAAAGAGCGCGCGGCAGGGGCCGAAGACAGCGCGAGGCGCGGAGAGCTCCGGCAGAGCCGCGCGCTCCCGGGCACCTCTCGGGCCGCGGGCCTCGACGCCCCGGCGCTGCGCTCCACGGCTCACCACCCACCAAACCACCCCAACCCAACCCGAAGGCTCAGATTTACCCTCGATTTCTAGTGGGGGGGGGGTCGGGAAACATCGAAAAAAAACGTGTGGAATCCTTACCCCCCCCAACCCGAGATTCGGGTCTTCGGGTTGGGTTGGGGTGGTCTGGCAGGTAGTCAGGCACCTCGCCGGCGAGCGCGTGCCTCTTCTGGCCGTCGTCCTCGGCGTCGTCCTCGGCTTCGTCGTCGGCATGGCCGGCCGTGTCGCCGTCGGCCTCGGCGCCGTTGGTCTCGTCGTTGGCTTCGTCGGCATCGTCGTGGTCGTCGTCGTCGTCGTCGTTTTCGTTGTTGAACTCTCATTCTTGAAGAATTAAATATTGTTGATCCCCCCCACCTTTTGCATCATGTTTCTCCTCCATCAAAGTGTGTACCTCGACGCTCGCACCCTGTTTTTGACAGGGGAAGTCTTGAGGCTCAAACTGTGCCCCTGCCCCCCCGGATTACAAAAGCAACGGCTCCCGCTTCAGGCTTCCTCCAAATTTACTCAGGACCCCCGCTCCCGCGTGAGGCTTCCTCACAATTTACTCAGAATCGGTGCTCCCGCCTGTGACTTCCTTCCAATTTATCAGGACCCCCGCTCCCATCTGAGACGTCCTTGCACTTTACTCAGGAACGGCGTTCCCGCTTAAGACTTCCCCGCACTTGAGTCAAGACCTCCTCGCAATTTAATCAAGACCCCCGCTCCCGCCAGAGAACCCTTCACATTTTATTCAGGAATTGCGCTCTCGCCTGCAATGTCCATCCAATTTATTCAGAAATCGTGCTTTCGACGCTCAGGAAACACGCTGCGCCAAGGACGCCGTCACGATTTACTTATGAACCGCGCTCTCGTCATACTCAGGCATCCCGCTTGAATGTCCGACCCGCCCGACCCGCCAGTCGGGATCGCCCGCCCGTCGTGGGCTCCCGCCCGAGACTTCCTTCAGGAACGGCGCTTTCGCCTAGGACTTCCTCGAACGTTCACGCTCTTACCTTCCTGCTCATCCTCCCTCTCCCTCCTCCCTCCTCTCCTCCCTTCTCTCTCCCTCCTCTCTTCCCTCATCCTTATGCCTCTCTGCCCTATCCCCTCTCCCGCCTCTCCCTCCTCCCTTCTCCCTCCCCCTCTCCTGCCTCCTCCCTCCCTCTTTCTTGTTTTTTCTCTCTCTCTCTCTCTCTCTCTCTCTCTATATATCTATATCTATATATATATATATCCCCTCTCTCTGTCTCTCTTTCTCTACCTCTCTGATCTGTCTTTGTCCCTCTCTCTTTCTCTGCCTCTAATCAACCGCCCCCCTCTTCCCTCCTTCTCTCCTGGCGTTTTCCCTTTTCCTTCGTCCCTCGCCCTCCCTTCCTCCCACTCCCTCGTTCTCCCCCTCTGTTTGCAGGGCCCACACCAGTTCCAATGGCGGGCACATGTACGCCCACGAAAGATTTTCCGCCCGTTCAGGTTCGCCCGCCTGTCTAGGCCCGCCGCCGCCCACAAAAAAAAAAAATCCCCCCAAAGGGGGTGTGATCGAAGACAAAAAGGGCTGTTATCGAGGGTGTGGGGAACTCGTTTTGAATGACACACTGGTAAATAAGAGCGAGCAGCAGTCTTAGAATGATTGTTGAACTCTCACTTCTGAAGGATAATGTTTGTTGATCCCCCCCGTCCGGTGCACATTTTTTTTTGTTCGATTGAAGTGCCCTTCCCGGGGCCCGCACCTTGTTTCTAATCAGGGAAAGTCTTGAGGGTCAAACTGTGTCGATGGCCCCCCGTTTACAACAACAACAACAACAACCGCTCCCGCCTGATATTTCCTCACAATTTATTGAAGAATCGCGCTCTCGCGTTGGATTTCCTTGCAATTTACAACC